CCCCCCCACACTATATTTTTGCTGTCCTGTGGGATCTCTTAGATTATAGCATCTGGCTGCAAGCTCCTCAGCTTTCCCTTTCTGTCTGTCCCTTCCTATCTTTCCCCTCCATCTTTCTTTCTGTCTTATCCTTTCTGTCGTTTCCTTTCTTTCTTTTTTTGCTGTCTTTTCCTGTCTGTTTTTTCTATTCTGTCTTTCCCTTTTCCATCTTTGTCTGTCTTTCTATTTTGTTTTTATAATAGGAGTTGATGTCTGGTATCTGCTGCTTGCTCTTTCTTCCTGTTTGTCATTGTAAAGATGTGGCAAACCCAGTTGGTGTGAGTGTGATTATAGATGCCTCTGGACGGTCTTGCTCTTTTTTTATTGTCAGGTACTTTTAGTTTGGTGGATGGTCCCCCCCCCTCCCCCCTTCCTATAAAAAAGATAATTGTAAATAATACCCCCCCCCAGCCAGAAATTAAGCATTCATTGTATTTTAGTGTATGTGGGACTGAATTTATTGTCAATATGAAAAGGCAATTTCACTCTTGGGATATTTTGGAATGACGGTGTAATTATGACAAAGAGCATAGCAAAATAATTTTGAAATCTTGTGTCTTTTTAAATCTGGGACCAATCTTGGCTGACTTTTTCTCATTTTGTTCTTCCCCAGCATTTACGAATGACAATCAATAATGAGGCTCGGTGTCGAGTCCAGCACCTGTGGTTCGAGACGATATTCGACATGCTAGAACATTTCCGCACTCATCCGATACCCCTTGAGTCGGGGGGCTCATCGGACGTGACTCTCAACGCGTTCATCGTGGCCCTCGAGCGGCCTCGAACCCCAACCTCCACGGGATCCTTGCGTAGTCGAGGGGGCGGGGCGGCGGCTCATCACGGTGGGGGCGGGGGACGCAGCGGTGGTGCACCTCTCGGCACGACGCATCACCAGGAGGGTGGTCAGCGAGATGTGATGGTGGTCAGCGGATCGGTGCGCTCCCGGACGTCGTCCATCGAGAACGTGGTACGGGAACAGACGCAGGCCCAGCAACAGCAACACAACCGAGCCATCGACAACCATTACTCCTTTGTGTAGACTCGAGACCCCCACAGCTTATTCCACGACCCTACCTACCTACCTACCTACTGTCTATGTTTATTAAGAACTGACTCTCTTTCAGGCTACAGAGGAAGGAAAGAGGTTGGAAAATTTTGAAGAAGTGGAAGTCTTTTCTAGAACATGGCAGTTGTTATTTGTAGATGGCTCAAGCCCGACAGTGCTAGCAGTCAAGAAAGAGACTGTAATTGCTTATTTGTCTTGACCTTAGACTGCTGAACACACTCTTTTTTTCCCATCTTGGATCTAGAAGTGGCTGAAGTCTTAATGAGAAGGAGCTAAGGAAGAGGATTCAAGCCACACATTAGCACAACAAAGCAATCAGCAACCATTACATGTGTAGCTCAACATGTGGTTATTCCTCTGCCCTATCTTCTTACTACGTTTATGTCTCTATTTTTCAATTTAGAGTTGGACAAATGTCATTATCAGAATATAGCTTCAGAGCAGATACTCCTTGCCTAGCGACCAGGCTGACAACTGTCGTCATTTACCCTCGTTTGTCAAAACTTCTGTTATTGAACTCTACTTGGGTACGGAAGATATGCTGTCAGCCCTGTCCCTTTCACAAAAGCTGCTGTCATTTCGAGAACCCAGACCCAGGTGTTCTATCTTCCTGTCTACCTTCCACCTTGATTGATATGTGGCTAGATGTTTGATGAGCCGTGGCTGAAATGTTTGATGAGTTTTGGCTGAAATGTTGGATTAATTGATGAATCTCGGCTGAAATGTTTGATGAACTGATCAGTCTTGGCTGAAATAGTTGGTGGATTGATGAGTCTTGGCTGAAATGTTTGATGAATTGATGAGGCTTGGCTGAAATGCTTGGTGAATTTAAGTTTTGGCTGAAATATTTAAATGAGTCTTGGCTGAAGTGGTTCAGAGTTCTTTGATGGAACCGTTGACCACACTTGATTGAAAATGTTGATGAGTCTTGCTGAAATGATTGATAAGTCTGTCTCATATGTTTGACCAGTATTCACTGATGGCAGTATGGTGTGCATGGATGAAAGAAACCCTTGTGAATGTCAGAGTTACTGGGTGAAAGTGGAACAGTTTTTGTCAGGAAAACTTTTATCCACCTTGCAATTTGATGTGCCTACCACTTAAGGAAAATGTGTTGAAATGTGGGGAGGTTCACATTTCCTGTAGTTGTCGAGCTAGAAAACATTCCTCAATTGGAGGTTTGCGGGTGCTCTGGTGTGGTTAGCTCCTTCTTTCCTGTCTTACATCAGTCGTCTTGATCTCTCCTACTTCTGTTTTGTGTTTGTTGCTCTCTTGTAATACCTCTAATCTTGGGTTCATACATGACCTTACTGTGTTGCAAATGCCGTAAAACTGTTACCAACCCTACCCTTATTGAGGAACTTGAAGCGGATGGAGACTGAGCAACAAATCAAAAGAAGAAATATCAGAAGATGTGTCGGTTTTTTTTTTTTACAAGGGACTGGTTATTCGTACAGTACGCTACCTTGAGGTCAGGTGAATTCTGATGAACCTGACAAGGTCTAGCATATTCGAATAAGACTTGATGTCAAGGCTTATTCGATTGATTGATTGATAACAAGTTCTTGTTAACTTTTGAACTTTTAAAATTGAGTTTAAATGTCTAAATAATTACTCTTTGATAAATAAAGAGTTGAGTGTGTTTTTTTTAAACTGTTAATTTAGGAATTAATATTGTGATTGTCCCTTTCCTCCCGCATTTTTCGTGTACTGAAGATGGGGAGCTTAAACATCCCCGCGACAAAAAGGTAATTAAAACATAAGTTTTGGGAATTTCGGACTTTTGCCCATTCAAAAAGAAATAGTACCTAAAGAATTACTTTTTCAGCCAGTGTGAACTCTAAAGAGTTCATTCCCTTTGAGACTTGAACGTCAGTTGACTGACTGTTACAACCTGGTGCCCGAAAATGTTTCTTTCTTTGAGTTGAACTTTAATGCTGTTTAGTGTTACTGGTTAAGTAAAAAGAGGGAGAAAAAGATGAAGATGTAAAATGTATGTAAAATGTTTTATCTCACGTGTGAATCTGGTCACAGTATGATACATGTGTGCAGGCTATTGTGGTATCATATCGTATAGGGTCATCAACCAAGTGACAAAAATATGCTGCGTATACTCTGATTTTAATGCTGTGTCCCTCATAAGTGACATGCAACATTTTTGATTGATATGAACAAAATTTTTTCCTTGAAAGAGACATTGTCTTCTTAAGAATGAAAACTATGTTGTGCTCCCCTGCCTCCCCC